AGGCTTGCCTCGTCGCATCATATACTTACCAAACTTTTCCACAAGTCTCAGCGAGAGATTGGATGCCAAGGTCCACTCGGGACCTGGAGCCTTATTACACCTTGGCATATCGTTGAGGTGTGAACAGATCATGCACAAAACAAATTTTGGTTCTGCCGGAAAGGCACAAGACAACGGTTGGGAAAGTCGGCGAGCAGAGCCATATTTAATACTACACACACCTTGCATGATTTTCCGCTATTCTGTTTCCCCGCCATATGTTCCGTTAATGCTACCGATAACACTGCTGAAAAAAGCCAGTTTGTCCCGTTGGTTTCAGTCACAAATCGTCATGTTCTAACTTCCAAGTTTGCAGCGAAATCATCGAGCGAATATTGGGGTCGGGGCGCTCAAGCTTTCGCGGCACCCACCAGAGCTGGGCCTCTCGGTTTGACACTGCCAGGATATTGCGCGAATGCCCCAGGTAAGTTACCACAATCTTGATTAGGAAATTATATTAGCAGTGTATATATTAATGAGGGTTATAGTCGCCCATTGAACCTAAAGATGGACATTTCTGTGCAATTAGCCTGGTTGCAACTAGAAGCGTATCATTATGTGAGCATCAAAGCGAAATCTTGACGTTGGAAAACCCTCCGGATGCATGGTATCGTGAAGCCACCACAAGAAAGACAGTTCATCGGTCTGTAAACGGCAATCCATGGGATATCGGTCCCAAGCCTGACCGGGTAGCAGAAAGACATGATAAGACCCTGGGCCACGGATCTTGATCTGCTAGATGGCTCTCTGGCCACTTTCCCTTGGTTTTATTTCCTAACCACAAAGTCGACTTAGCTTGTGGAACTTCACGGCTCGAAGAAAATATGGTATCATCTATCATAACTGTCACGTTGAGGGTTGGAGTCGGGGATACCGAAAAGGCTGAGAAGCCATCTGTCTTCAACCGCGCCGAGGAATTGCGGGAAATGTCACAGGATATTCCAGTCAACTTCACATCACTAGTAGCCTCGCTAGTCTTTTAAACGGTTGAACGATAACGAATCTCACCGTGACCGTTGGATGAATGCCCGTTGTCATGCATGATGTTGAACCGCTGTACTATCAAGCCAACAGTGTCTTCATACCAGTCAGAACTTGCACCAGACTCAACCCTGGTTGACCACTGGCAACCTTGTGCATTGTCCCGACCAAGAGCCTTTTGGTGGCCGCATCATCAAAGCTTCGGCCCAAGAGGACGTCTATATGCGAAACTTCAAGTCTCATCGTGTATCTTCCCCGGACCATGAAGGGCACTGATTGGGGTTAGTGAACACCAACGCAGTACTGCTGATTAGACTCTGGGCGAGCTCTTCCAGGTTCTCATCTCAACGCAGTCTACGCCCCAATTCCACACCTTAAGGGTACGTGGCTGTGGGGAAACATGTAAGTACCTTGCGGTTCACCAGGGCGGAAAGAGGCGGGCTGGAAACCCACAATACTAACCCGAGGGATGTATTTTTCCCCTGTTTCCTTCGTATGTTTCGGATACCTCATCCGACTTAAGGACACAAGAAGAGGCAGTGTGATCAGCGTTCAGGCGCAATTGAATGAACCACTGACTTATTCACGCTTATTTCCCACTTTGGGGGTTCGATAAGATAGTTACGGATTTCTCTTGCTAACTATCCTAGGCCCTCAACGCACTTCGGTGCATCGGCTTCTGGGAAGCTGCCTTCATGGAGGAGTCTATTGATCCGTAAGTCCCGATTTGACGAACGTTCTCAACTGCACCACGACGTTCAATTTCTTCCGCTAGTATTCCTTGCGAGGGCTCCTGTTCAAGGGCCGTCGCTGATCTTTCTGTCGGCGTTTCGTCGGAATGAGGCCGAGGGCCCTCATTGGAGGGTTTGGATAAAGGTGACAGGCAAACGCGATTGCCTTAATTGCACCGAGCGAAAAGCTGCATCCGAGTTCTCCTCGGCTGCCATTGCTAAGATCTGAAAACACCACACTGTCACACGTTACGAGTGCTTGTCAACGAAGGACCCAACTATCGTGGGGCGCTGGACCTGAGACGTGCCCTTGCCATGGCTGTGGGAAACCCGTCACTAGGAACGATGATTAAGTCGCAGCACCCTGTGCACCTATAGCCGAGACAAATGATAGACTAATTGATTGTACTGTCTTTCTTAATGTTTAATATAAGGCCGTCATCAAGTTTCTATGCCGTATTTTGGAGAGGCTGCAGTCGTCTCGGTGTCAATACTCTTCCGGATGTTGCTGTGAACCCGACAAAGCTATATGCCCAATGGCGACTCTATCACAGCGTTCCGAGGAGGAACTGCTTGCGCGTAGTCTGGATGATCTGCAATATCCAGGTCCAAGTCTGGCGCAAGCTCAGGAGATACCTCGCAGCTGCTTACCACCCCGCCACACCTGCGTCAGCTGTTCTCAGAACCAGTGCTTTGACTTGGGAACCTTCAAAGGCAAAAAAAAAAAAGGGGGGGGCGGGGGGGGGGCGGGCTATTTCCTCTTCCGTTCTTTGCAAAGTGATGTGTGCGTGATCCAGGGGTTCTGTTTATTCCAAGGTGGGTTGCCAGCATGCGGGGGTAGACCCAGCAACTGGTCGTACAGTGTGCACCACTTCGAATACAGTACGTAGAAAGGACAAACGCGGAAAAATCGCGGCCCCCACTGAATTTTTCCGCGCTAGACCAAAGACCTACAAAATCTTCCTTTGTCCTCGCGCATTCCCTTCTCGCTTTCCCCCTGTTCTCCCTCAGCGCTTTTCCCCCAACAGCCCCGGCGGCGAGCTGGGAGATGCGACTTTTTCTGGTGCGACACGGCGAGACGGTCGACAACGTCGCTGGTCTTTAGTACGTTGCACTTCTTCTGTTATCGCTCTTGTTTCCACCCCCAGACGAAACGCTAACTGGCTTCCAGTGCAGGAATCCGCGATTCACCGCTTACTGCTCACGGCGTCTTGCAGGCACGACGTCTTGGAGAGCACCTCGCGAAGTACCATCGGGTCACCCATGTTTTTTCATCGGATCTGCAGAGGGCCGTTGACACTGCCGTGAAGGTCGTCGATGCCCAGCTATCTCGGAGGCGAAGACCGGACGAGGACTATGTCGATGTGCCGGAGTCTACCGAGAAGCTGAAGCCCCTTCAACTCGTTGACTTGCGTGAGCGCGACTTCCGATCGGCAGAGGGCAAGAAGTTTGGCACACCTCATGGTGATGCTGAAACACACGAGCAAATGAGGCTGAGGGCGGCCAGGTTTGTCCAAAGACACCTGGTTCCGTTGTTGACTGGTGAAGGTCCTGAAATCATCGTGGTCGTGGTTGCCCATGGCTTGATTCTGAACTCGCTCTCTTGGGTTCTGCAGGCGAGGTTTGGTACCGAACCGCGTGGGTTTGAAACGTCGGCAGCTTGGAGCAACACCGGCTATCTTGAAGCTGTGGTCAAGGCTACCGCTGCTGACATGGAGGCATCGACTGCTGAGACTTCTGGTGATAGGAAGACGACGCAGCGACAGTTCACCTTGACTGTGGTGGGGGTGAACGTGCTTCGCCATCTCGGGGGCTTGAAAAAGACCAAGGGTGGGATTGGCAATGCACAGTTTGACAAGAGGCAGAGGACCATGGATTCTTTCTTTGGCCCTGCCTCTAAAAAGGCGAGGGTGGATCAGGAGTCTGGGAAATCTTGACACAGCCACCCTCGTTGACTTGTAAATGGTACGTCTGCCTCCCTTCAATACAGCCAGCACAACTCCCCATTTTTATGATGAGAAAAACAAGTTCACAGACCTGTACCGAAAGTATACATGTGGAAAAACTTTGTCCAACCGCTATCTGAGAAATGGCACACCCTCTCCCATTTATTTCATTTGTTTGAGAGCTGCAGTTGCTAACTGTTTGAAAAGACAGACACACCTACACTCACTCCCGCGCACCACCTTCATCCCTCGCTCACCGTGACTCAGATAGTTGGCTAAAATTGACAGTGTACCAGCAACCTATTTCCCACATGATGCGCCGTGACCTCCTACCATCCTCCTTCCCAACCCTGACGTTCACCCCAAACTGGCCTATCTCCCCATGGTCCTTTCGGGTTTATTTTCTGTTCAGGAAGAATAATGTCCACGTCCGATTACTCACCACGGCTTTCGTTGGCACTTGTGTTATGGAAGTCGAGGTCCATATTTTGGTCGACATTTGATGCATGACACTTGTAATTCTTTGGGTGTCTTTTTACGCAGACTCTTCATCCTCATCACTGTCGTCTGGAACCACCCCTGCTGCCTCTTCAGAGGGCAACAGGCGCGGAAACCAGCCATATTCTGTGAAGTCTACCATGAGTTCGCCGAGCGCTCCCGTTGTGACAACCACGCCCTCAGTCTGCAAACTTGCAGCTTGATTGCGAGCCCCTTCGGGCTGTGATCTGTTCCCTGTTAGTTTTGCATAAATACGCCTGGTCATCAATGGAATGCACACCTTGGAGATATAATCCCTTTCCCGTTGATCACTCTCTGCCACGGGACATTGTCGTGATGGTATCGGAGTGAGGTGTTGGAAGGGAGGTGTTTGAGGGCTGTGCCTACTTGTCGTGGCCGCTGGGCTTTATCATGGTTAGATATAACTCAATACAAGACATTTCATTCAATACTTGATGCACAAATACATACGAGTTCCTATCAGTTTTGCGATGTGGCCATAGGTCGTAACTTTGCCTTCGGGGATCTCTTGGACGGCGGCATACACCGCGTGGAAGAAGGCCTGGGCCTCTGGCGTGCGGGGCATTACTACTAACGCTGAATGACGGACAATGTCAAAGAATGAAACTGTAGACTTGCGATGGAATGTGGGCAAGGTGTCGCCTTTTAATACGGCGAAAATGATGGCGATGAATGATGTGTTTGGTGCTAGATGCAATATTTAGCCGTGGTTTGGCTTAAAGCATTGTGCAAGACTGGCCCCACTTAGAGTCAGGATTGTCGATAATATCCAGAAAAATATTCAGGGTGCATGGTCTAGTGGTATGATTTTCGCTTCGCATCCTCTAGTAGGCGCGGAACTTGTGAAAGGTCCTGGGTTCAATCCCCAGTGCATCCAAAGTAGTTTGAGTTTTATTTCACTACCTTATCTATTCGACGAACAACAAGCTTACTTTTTGCGTGCTTCTTTTTAAACTAGCTTGCGGTCGTACGTAGTTGACCTGGCCTTAATAAAACACGAGCTGTTAGCGAGATTAATTGATACCGTTCTGTCAAACGTCGTCCTCATTGGATCGTAGAGGTTCTCTGATTCCGTCCCTATCTCCGATGTTAAAGTGATCAACCCTAACATGCATGGATGTGTACAGCCTGTACCAACGAGATGGATTCGGCAATATCAGCGGGTGATGTCAAGCCTTTTTGTCACCGGCGTGGTACAACGAGCCCAGCCACAATAGAGGCATCTGTATGTGTAGGTGTGTTGTCGATGTTCGCTTTTCGGATTCTCGGGTCCTCGGACTCTGCATGGAAACTTTGGTGTGTGTGGTACATGTTGAAGAGCCTCATCTCAAAAATAAAAATAGAGAAGGCGTTCAGATGCCCAAGGCAGATTTTGAAGTTTAGTCTTTTGCTTGTCACGAGAAAGCCTACCTCACCTTCAAGAGATAGACACATGCCAAGCCCATGGGACGTTCGTGCACCAACCGGTGAGGACGCAAGGTGAGAGGCGGGCAGAAAGCCTGTGGCGAGTTCGTCCGTCATCTGTTGTTCGTGCTTACTGAGCGACATTGGAGAAAAGAAAAATCTTTTCAACGGTCTCAGCCTCAGTCGGACTTTGTGCCGCTTGGGCGGCAGTTGGACAGTTTGGTGTCACCTCGACTGACAGCGGCACGCTGATGAACTTTCCCCGGTGAACTGTGGGGGCCGGAATCCCCCCAGATTTCGGTTAGTAGATATGCCAGTCTCGGAATAAACTGAGTCAGATTCAACACGTGGGTTCTGTTTTCGGACTTGATAGGTACGTTTAGACACTTTAGCGTATTGCAAGATGATTGATGCTAACTACTGCGGCTTCCCAGTATTATCATGATGCGGTCAACTGAACTAGGTAGGTGGCATCTCTCCCTATCTCCGGGGCCTCGGATCTGAGAATCATGATGGAGCAAGAAAACTGAGGCGGCAAGGTATTTTTCCTCAGAGACTGTGAAAAAAGACTCGATAACATAAGGTAAGCAGGAGTATGAGATTGTTTGGTGCACGGAACGGGGTGGCAATTTTGATTTACATATCTTGGTTAAACGGGCCGAAATAGGCCCTCAATTACAAGTGTGTTACCCCGAATGACGATCCATCTCTCTATAAGCAATCTCTCCATTTGTGTGCATCTAACAAGCCGCCATCAAAATAGCAATAACGTTCAATACCATGCTCATACCCCGTAGTAGATTTACCGCTCACTAATTCCGTGTTAGTCCGAACTAATGCCAGCACATCCAGAGGAACTCCAAACTAGCTTGTGCCTTGTCATAAAGTGGCGCTTGATGTTGTCCTTTCTTCCTCGGCGCGTGCAGCCTGGATAGGGGCATGATATCTCCTCGCACCGCAGGACATTGTTTTCTTGCGCCCACTCTCTGTGTGCAGCCCAGACGTGTCGATTAAGGGCACGAGCTTCTCCTAGGTTGCGAGTGCAACTGGGATGAAGGCATTGGAAATTGGGATTGAGTTTTCTTTTGCTAGTTGGGTTGAGGCCTACGTGTCAGCAGTAACTCTTGCTAAGGTTGATTTTGAGGACATGTACTTACACTGAAGTGACTTTCTGTTCCCTCTTTTGGCGTGTGCCAGATGAACAATAGTTGGGTGTGTTAATGGGTCGAAGGTCAGGTTGATCGGGATACGTGGGAATAGCACTTGTGAATGAGGGGGAGAGTTTTTTGTCGTGTACAGGCGGGGTGAGCGTGAAAGTAAGTGGTGGTGGCTGCGGTGCTGAATATGTTGACTGTCCCAAGCCTTGAGTGTTGAATATTGGGGGCAGTACCGGAGATTCGTGGCCAGAGACATGTTGGTAGTCGTACTGTTCAAAAACAGCTGAAATGTGATTTTCTTCGAGTATCATGAGTTCAAGCTCACGCTCAAGTTGGAGATCATATGAGCGGTGCCATGGGATACAGGAAATGGTGGTATAATTGAGCTCAGGTGTCAGGTGCGAGACGGGCACGGCCGTGTTGGTTGTAGTATCCTTCGGCAAAGGCGTATAGTACTGACTGGATGTGATGAACGAAGTCCTCCTCGAGTTCTCCTGTTCATTGGTGTCGTCAACAGACATCGTACGCGTGTGTCGAGGTGCACGCTCAAACGATTCAGATTGTGAGAAGAGAACAATATGGAACTTGGTCCGTGGGGAGCTGAGGTCTCACGCTCATCAAAGACGAAGCTGAATTCCAGGTAATATATTCTCTAAGCACAGTCTATCTGCTCATTTTGCTTCGACAAACCAGCGAGGCAAGTAGCATTGATACGTTTTCACTCATGTAGGTAGGTGGCTCTCAATGCATGACTCGAGGCATACTCGGCGGTTCCTAGAACCTGTCTGTGAAGATTCCTCATGAAGTTCAGCTACCTTAGGTCAGCAACCGTTGCGCGTGGTGTTTACCGCCATGTCTGACTCAAATGCACACTCTTTCAGGCGTATGTGACCAGAGTCGCCGCCAAACGAGGCGGCAGAAATAGAGCTGTGATCTCATCTGCGGTCGCGGGATAAGAAGCTGAATTGCCACATGATTTACGTGCCTACAACCCCATTGATTGGAAATTGGTGCCCAATCAGTCGGCATTTCCGTGCTTGCCGAGTGGCTGGGACTTGAACACCCCATTCTCTACACACTTTCGCCAACAATTAAGCTTAATACATGCGGGCCGTGGCGCGACTCAAGAACGCGTGTTCCATAGCTACGGCACTGACAAGTTCCGGCTCCGCTCCTGGGGTCTGGTATAAATCTCTTCTTCGACCCTTCTCTCTGACGAGGTGACATGAGATTCTGACTTGCATGTTACTCATCATACATAGCCATCCCTTGATAGGCGGAAATAACCCTACCTCATGATTGGTGGTCTACTTCGATGCTGGCTTCCTCAGAGGCCTCACCATGCAGGAGGTACTTTGCGTTTACGCCTCAGGTTATGAAAATACAGAAACCCCCATATAGAAGCTTTTGGATACAAGAGCTCAGACTGTAGCCAAACACCTATTGAGCTACCATACTATCAGTTTTCTCTTGACGGCCTGGCCAGGCAACATCTCGAGCGGCATTCTGTCATTTATGGAGCCATAGCCTGCATCGTTGCCATGTACTGACCCGCTTGGAGCATCTGTTTTATTGTGCACAGGAATTGTTCCTGGGAACGCGACATGGAAGGACTTCGAGCTGAACCATGCAGTGTAATCGAACAACTTAGTGAGGGGTGCGCCAAGAAATGGCAGGTTGCAGGTGTGACGGGCGGTTGAAGCAGTCAGCTTTCTGCGCATCCGAGAAATGCTTCGCATTTGTAATTTTGAAGACCTGTACGTCATCAAGCCTTGGTAGGTAACTCCCATATTACTTTATATAGAAAATCATCCTCAACACCAAGGGTAGAAGCTGTCTGGGCCTGTTGCTGGAGTAACACGACCCCTGAACCCCTGACTTTTTGGCCTTAAGCCTTAGTAAAACTTCCGGGCGTGAACACACTATTCGACACCACATCGAAAGTTTGAGCAAAGCAAGCACGATCCAAAAAATTATCTGCTCCTTCAAGTACCCTCACCTTCGATCCGCCCATTCTACTGTTTGAGATCTCATTCCCTTTAATGGGGCTTTGTGAAAGGGGATCAAGGTTTTCGAAGATAATATTCACGAATTCTTGGTTATGTAGGTGCCTAAATGCAAATCATTTTGCCTCGCTATATAATCTTGTCTTTATTCTACTATCTCTGTAGAAGAATTGGCTCTGTGGTTCGTCTGATAGCTACGCCTGTTAAAGACCATCTTCGCATCCAATAACCTTTCTGGAATGATCCCGAGCAAATGAAATCTACCTGCCTGTTGCAGTGCCACTATACGCCTTCTTCCTGGCGGTTATACCCAGCACTAAAAGCACTTGGGGCGAAAAAGATCGCTACGTTCGCAGCCACGGCCTTGGTGTTCACTTGTGGCGTTGCCCACAATAGTCGGCGGTTTCTCAAGGTTTTAATCCGTCGGTCCGGGCCCGGCCTTGTTGCAACATTCACCGAATCGCTCCCGAGGCCTACTGTATATCATATGTAACTAGAGATGTACGTAGACGAGTGTGAACCGACTCGAAAGCATGGAACTAAGTTGGACCAGAATAGTCAAATTAGACACTTGAAAAGGTAGCAGAGTGTGTAACAATGGACGATGATACTCTCAATTTACCCTACGTAACCCGGGATTTCAATTAGGTATGCCTTACTATCTTCCACAAGCTCTAAGTAGAAAGTACCCAAGCATACAACCTGTTACTCTAACTGTGTTGTGTCTTGTAGTGACGGGGCACGTTATCCTTTCTTCCTCTATACCGGCAACCCGGAAATGGACAAGCCTCCTGTTCAGATGGAATATTGTTTTGTTCTGCATATTCTCTGTGATCGGTCCATATGTGGCGATTTCGGGCTCGGGTTTCACCGCAGTTGTCGTTGCAAACAGGACATTGGAATTTGGGGTTAAGAAATCGGCTTTGCTTTCTGCCGGATGAGGGATTAGGAGCTGTAGAATAGAGAACGTGTTCCATGTCGTTGACTTACCCAGTGGTATGGGTCTTCGAGTTGTTTAAGTTTTCATGACCGGTTTCGTATGCGAGTGGTGGCTGATGGGCTTCGTCAGCAACAAGCTGAGAAGCAAAACTATCTTTCGGAATGAGCGATTGGCCATCATGCTGAGAGATATCTTGAAGATACAAGAGACCGAAAGTCGGAGACTGAAAGATAGAAGGACAATAATACCCTGAAGTTGCTGGAGTTTGCAGATGGGTATTGGCGGGCGTAGGATTTGAAGCTGTCGCAATATCCTGGAAACACGCACAAGAAATGTTCTGGTCAAAATTTCTGGTTGGTTGCTGGGCACA